CCCCCCTTCATGCCCCCCATCCCCTCCTCCCACACCACTCCCCCTCAGCACCCCACATCCCCCCCATGTCTCCCATCCCCTTCGCCCCCCATCCTCCCCCATTACCCCACATCCTTCCTGTATCCCTTTTCCCCATTCTCTCCCCCACCCCCCTTCATGCCCCCCATCCCCTCCTCCCACACCACTCCCCCTCACCACCCCACGTCCCCCATCCCCTTCTCCCCCAATGCTCCCCCTTGTCCCCCCTCTGCCCCCTCCACGTCACACCCCCATCCCCCACCTGATAAACACTCAGCCTGGCGTCGGGATCGTTGGCAATGCGGCGCAACCCCAGGCAGGCAGCAGCCAAGCCTGGAGGGGGCAACTGAGCGGGCAGAGGGTAGGGGTTGGCATGGAGCATCCTTGGCAGCCAATACAGCATCCGCTGGCACTTCCGCACAGGACGACTGCGAGGCCCAAAGATGGCCAACAACAAGAACCGCGTCTCCGCATCCGGCACCACACCTGCATCGAGGAAGGGGGAAAAAAACAACCTGGGAGCTTCCAGGGAATCCCTTCCACCTCTCGACGCATCCATCGCAGCCGCCCCTCACCGTATCTCTCCATCTGTTCCAGAACCTGCAACCCGCACTCCTGCTGCCGTGGAAAAGGAGCAAAGAGCCGATGCAGGGGCCCCCGCGGCACCCAGGGCCCACGGGGCAGCACCCGCAGCAGCCGGTTGTAAGCATCCAGCTGCCCGGCCACCCCCAGTGCTGGCATCGCTGCCAACGCTGCTGCCACCAGCTCCAGACGTCCCAGCCGCCGGCCCGGTGCTCGTTCCAGCTCCTCTAACGCTGCTGCAAAGGTCGCAGGGCCTCCCTGTTCCTCGTCCCTGTTCTGAGAGCCACGATCCGACGGTGGCTCTGAAGCATGGCTGCTGCTGCTGCTGCTGCGGCACGTGGGGCGAGCAGCCTGGGGAGGGGGCACGGGGTGAAGGCAAGAGAACAGCCCCCCTGCTTGGCCCAATTCCCTTCTCCTCACTCAGCTCCTTGCCGTGCCTCCCATCCACATCCCCCTCCCCCCCATCTCCTGTTCCCTTTTGCTCCCTGCATCACCTCAGCCCCCTCGCAGCCTCCCCACCTTCCTTATCCCTTTTCCCCCCTCTTTGCGAAGCCCCATGGCCGCTCTGCCTCCCATCCCTGTGTCCCCCTCACATCTCCCCCCATCTCCCATTCCTTCTCTTCCACATCCACCTCAGCCCCTCGCAGCCCCCAAGCCTTCCTTATCCCTTTTCCCCCTCTTTGTGAAGCCCCATGGCCGCTCTGCCTCCCACCCCTGTGTCTCCCCCACACCTCCCCCCATCTCCCATTCTTTCTCCTCTCCCACGTCCACCTCAGCCCCCTCGCAGCCTCCCCGCC